GTTACTCCACTGCACACCTCGGATCACTTCCTCCTCACTCTTAACCTCAACATGGTTCCTGACACAACACATACCCCTCCACATGTCATCTTTCATTGTAACCTACGCTCACTCTCACTCTCCAGGCTATCTGCTATGGTTTCATCTTCGATTCCTCCCCCTAAACAGTTATCATCTCTTGATGCTAACAGTGCTACTGATATTTTCTGCTCCACTCTTACATCTTGTTTAAACACTGTCTGCCCCTTGTCTTTCAGGCCAGCCCGTACCAACCCTTCTGCCCCTTGGTTATCTGATGTTCTCCGCGAACATCGTTCTAATCTCAGGGCTGCTGAATCTGTCAAGCACATCTTACCAGCAAACATACACTCGTTCACATCCTTCTCTTCACTCTCTGAGGCAGAAGTCTCCAAACTCATTCTTTCTAATCATCCTACTACTTGTCCGCTTGATCCTATTCCATCTCATCTTCTTCAAGCCATTTCTCCCGCAGTTGTACCTGCACTCACTCACATCATTAACACCATCCCTTCACACTGGTGTTTTTCCCTCAGCATTTAGACAGGCTCGTATAACCCCACTACTTAAGAAACCCACCCTTAACCCATCTCTTTTAGAGAACTACAGACCGGTTTCCCTTCTACCTTTCATTGCAAAAACACTTGAACGAGTTGTGTTCAACCAAGTCTCTTCATTGCAAAAACACTTGAACGAGCTGTGTTCAACCAAGTCTCTGCCTTTCTCACACAGAACAACCTCCTTGACAGCAACCAGTCCAGTTTCAGAAGTGAACATTCAACCGAGACTTCCTTGCTCTCAGTTGTTGAAGCCCTAAAGGCCGGGACACACCAAGCCGACTTCAAAGAACTAGCGGCGACGAAAGCCGATGGTGTTGTCGCCTCGCGTCGGCAGCGTCAGACCAAAAAGCTGCCCTCGAACACACCGCACAGACTACAGCTGACGGCAAACTAACACATGCGTTCTGTGCATGCGTGAGAGGAATTAACTGTCTATATCAGCAGCTATCAATAATATATATTCGTCAATCAAAAGAAGAAACCAAAACAAAGATATACGAGATAAATGCAGATATACGAAACGTAAACAAAGCAGCGCTTGCTTACCATTTTGAATATCAGTAACGTTGATAACTTTAATAATTTTAAGCGGCTCATGTTGTTATGAAAACATTCGCGTATTAGAATGATTGGGAAAGATCACGTAACCTTTAAACAGCGTTCTGTCTGTACCACCTTCATTTACGTGCTTGTTTTCATCACTTTCGCTTTAATTCTCGGGCACTGACTGGTTCGCTAAACTGAACATCAAATCAGAGCTCTCACTCACGCCGAAGGTCCCATCGGCCTGACGCCGATTCAACATGTTGAATCGGGCAAACTTCCGCCGACGTGATCCCAACGAGAGCCGACGAGTGGAACACACCAAACAAACTAGCCCGACCGTCACTCGCCGTCGGCCCGACGTTGGCCAATGGCCGACCGTCGGCTTGGTGTGTCCCGGCCTTAAGACTGGCAGGAGCGGAGGCCAAATCTTCAATACTTATCTTGCTGGATCTGTCCGCTGCTTTTGACACGGTTAACCACCAGATCCTCCTGTCAACCCTATTGGCAAAGGACATCTCAGGAACCGCACTCCAGTGGTTTGAGTCTTACCTATCAGATAGGTCCTTCAAAGTATCTTGGAGAGGTGAGGGGTCCAAGTCGCAACATCTAACTACTGGGGTGCCTCGGGGCTCAGTTCTTGGACCACTTCTGTTCTCTGTCTGCATGGCATCATTAGGTTCTGTCATTCAGAAACATGGCTTTTCATATCACTGCTATGCTGATGACACTCAACTCTACCTCTCATTCCATCCTGATGATCCGACGATAGCTGCTCGCATCTCACCTTGTCTAACAGACATTTCTTGCTGCCCCTTTTAGACTTGCACTCTATTTACTAACTGCTTGTTTTCTTTAGAAAAAAAAAAACTAACACTTGCATCTCTAATCTTTTTGCATTCTATCTATTCATTTTCTTTTTATTTATTATACAATTATAATTCTGACTTTCGGACTTCTTCTGATTAACAAAAGAAAAAATGGCCTCTAACACTAGCTTGCTCTATTTTTTTTCTATTCTATCTGTTTTCTTTTTTATTTATTATATGATTTAAAAAAAACCTTGCTATGTGTACTGTATTAAGCTAACTGAGACTTGTTATAGCACTTGCATATCATTGCTCTTTTTTTTATTTTGATTGCTTCCATTGTCCTCATTTGTAAGTCGCTTTGGATAAAAGCGTCTGCTAAATGTCTAAATGTAAATGCAAATTTTCTGAAGTACAGCATTATTTGTCCAGGTGTCTGGTGTTAAAGTTGATCTAAAGTGGCAGAGAGAGACCAGGAAGACTCTGAACTCTGGGGTTTTTTTCCTGACTGGACCAGATGTTACAATTCTGTACCTCTGTATTTCCTCTCTTTTTTTCTCTCTCTCAGGTGATTCACAAGGGAATCAATTTAGCTACGCTTATCCTGTAAGAAACTTCTGTGGTTTTTAAGCGTGAGGTACCTTGTTGACTCCGTCAGCCATGGCCTGCAGGGTAAGCTCACGCGGGCCGTCCACCGTCTTGCCGTCGTCTGTGGGACCCCAGCTAGCGCTGTAGATGTCAATAACCTGTGGCATGTGGCTGATGGACGAGGCCTCGATGATGTCCGTCATGAAGGGCTGGTCCAGCATACGAATGCCTGTGAAATGGCAGGATTGAGAACATGGGAACAGCAGGAAAACGCTTGATGTTACTCTATTGATGCTCTGCGGTGATGAGTGCAGGGGTGAGAGGGCTTGAGATTCACTGAAGATAATGGCTTAGGTGCTTCATCAAGCACAAATGAGATTTCACCTTAACTTTGATTTCTCTCTCGTCTACAAAACCTGCTGAAAGTGACCTTATGCTGGACTACACTTACAAAAGTGTATACTGCAAGTTCATTTTATTACGCAAACTTAAGTAAAGTTCAAGTATTCCAAGAAAACTTTATTTAGTAAGTGTACTAATAATCAGAAATCAGAAATACTTTATTATTCCCCAGAAGGAAATTAGGTATCATTGATATCATAATATCATTGAGGTATACTTGTATGTATATGTCAATACATATTGGGACTCAACTGGCTTACTTTTTAGTTTATCAAAGTATACTCTCCAAAATATACTTGCCTTAATTCTGGCACGTATACACAAAAGTCTAAGCACACTTGGCCTATACTTAACCTTTTGATTGAGATATACTTAATAAAGGTATAATTAAGTATTTTAAGTATACTTTTATTAAAAAAACAAAACAAAAAAACCCTTAAGTTCAAAGCTGCGTCCCAAACGATACACTCTAAACCATGCACTTACACATTACAGTGTGTGCATAATTATTAGGCACATTGATATTCTAAACATATTTTTTTCCCAAGCACATTTGACCAATTCCAAACCACATCAATCTTAATAACTAGTATTAATTTTGTATTTATTCATTTTTAGTTCACTTTTAGTCCATCTCCTATCCTGAAAAGTCTGTCTTGCAGGATTGACTAAAAATGAGCTCCTAAAACTTACTGCCAGATTCTGGAGATAAATTCTTCAAACAGTGGTACAAGAGGATGTGGTGCTGGTCCTTCAAGAGTCACTCTCAACATATCTGTCCATAAAGCCTATAAAAATTAGTCTTCATGTATTTCACAATACTTCAGCATGTTATTCTTATTAAGTGAGGGTCATTGCAGGATTGACTAAAAATGAGCTCCTAAAACTTACTGCCAGATTCTGGAGATAAATTCTTCAAACAGTGGTACAAGAGGATGTGGTGCTGGTCCTTCAAGAGTCACTCTCAACTTATCTGTCCATAAAGCCTATAAAAATTAGTCTTCATGTATTTCACAATACTTCAGCATGTTATTCTTATTAAGTGAGGGTCATT